GGTTCTCTGAGAGTTTCATTTCTTTAAGCCAGTGTCAGCTGCATTCTGATGTTGACAGTCATATCAAAAGTATTCACTGCCTCAAGTGTTTGTGTTTTTGAAACTTCATTCTTTATTTTTTAGTGAAAAGCTTATTTTTAAGTAAAAGGCTTGATTTTTTTTTTTTTTTTTTGTAATGGAATCTCACCCTGTAGCCCAGGCTGGAGTGCAATGGCATGATCTTGGCTCACTGCAACCTCCACCTCCCCGGTTCAAGCAGCTCTCCTGTGAGTAGCTGGGATTACAGTCGCATGCAAGCACACTAAGATAATTTTTGTATTTTTAGTAAAGATGCGTTTTCACCATGTTTGCCAGATTGGTCTCAAACTCCTGACCTCAAGTGATCCATGTGCCTTAGCCTCCCAAAATGCTGGGATTCCAGGCATGATCCACCATACCCGGCCTTGATTTCTTTTCTTTTCTTTTCTTTTTTTTTGTGAAACAGAGTTTCACTCTTGTTGCCTGGGCTGGAGTGCAATGGTGCACTCTTGGCTCACTGCAACCTCTGCCTCCTGGGTTCAATTGATTCTCCTGCCTCAGCCTCCTGAATAGCTGAGACTACAGGTGCTGCCACCACACCGGGCTATTTTTTTTTTTTTTTTTTGCATTTTTAATAGAGACAGGGTTTCACCATGTCGGCCAGGGTGGTCTCAAACTCCTGATCTTGTGATCCACCTGCCTCTACCTCCCAAAGTGTTGGGATTGCAGGCGTGAGCCACCTCACCTGACTAAATTTCTAATTAAAGAAATTTCAAGCAAAAAGAATTAGGTAAGAGAAAATGGCATTGAGGGGGCAAGATTAAAAACTCTCAATTTGGGAGATAGAGTTTATTGTCTTTTAACCTATTGATTATCAGTTTGTGTTTGATGATGATGATTAAAATAGACCGTAATATCAGAGAAGATTGACATTGACTAGACCTAGTAAAGTGAGAAAAGAAACTAAGAGTTTGCATTCACAAAGTAATTCTAATTGTTATTTCTTGATCTGTTTCCCGTTTATGCCTTTTATGAAATAGAATAATTATACCTTTAAATTAAATTATACCATTAAATGTTAACAGTTAACTTTTTGCAAGTTTTGTTAGAAGAGTGAATTATAGCTATAGAAATTTGCTATTTTTGCTGCAAGATCATCCATTTATATATATATAACACATATATTACATATATATGTAATATCACATATTATATATATTAATATATTACATATATAAATATATATTATACATATTTTTTTTTGAGACAGAGTTTCTCTCTTGTTGTCCAAGCTGGAGTGCAATGGCCTGATCTTGGCTCACTGCAACCGCCGCCTCCTGGGTTCAAGCGATTCTCTGGCCTCAGCCTCCAGAGTACCTGGGATTACAGGCGCGTGCCACCACTTCCAGCTAATTTTTTGTATTCTTAGTAGAAACAGGGTTTCACCAAGTTGGGTCAGGATGGTCTCGAACTCCTGACCTCAAGTGATCCACTCTCCTCAGCCTCCCAAAGTGCTGGAATTACAAGCGTGAGCCACTGCGCCGGGCCCCATTGATACATTATTGTTATATACTTATAGTTTTAAAATGAGACAGTAGTGGGGTGATGTTATGATTGTGCCTGTGATAATCTGGAAAAAGTTTGGTGACTTTCAGAGATGTTCAGTAATCAGCTACTCCACTCCAAACACTGGACAACTTTCTCCGATTTTCTGGCCCTTCTGGCAGATCACTAACTGGCTGACAACGCTAATAGCGCACCCTAGTGATAATAGTGTTCCACTGCAAGGTGTATTGAAACAACTGGTCTTATATTTTTGACATTAATCAAAGCCGACTAGCCAGTGGCTAGGGATTTTAATCATTTTAAAATATTTGGTTATGCTGATGATAAAGATGATCTTTTTTTTTTTGACCTGAAGTCTTGCTCTATTGCCCAAGCTAGAGTGCACTGGCACGATCTCGATTCCCTGCAACCTCTGCCTCCTGTGTTCAAGCGATTCTCCTGCCTCAGTCTCCAGAGTAGCTGGGATTACAGGGGAGCACCACCACACGTGGCTACTTTTTGTATTTTTAGTAAAGACGGGTTTCCACCATGTTGGTCAGGCTCGTCTCGAACACCTGACCTCAGGTGATTTGCCCACCTCGGCCTCCCAAAATGCGAGGATTACAGCAGACATGAGCCACTGCACCCAGCCAAAGGTGATCTTAAAATATTTTTCTAGTGGTGTTATTTGGCCATTGTATGTTCTATAAAATAAAATATATTCATAGATGACAGAAAAAAATTTCCAGAAATGTATTGAGTACCCACATCAAAGTTACCATACAATAGCCTATGGAGGATTAAAAATATATAAGGTGGTTGCTATGAACTATTTTGAATTATAGTTTTTGTACATCTTATTCATTTTTATAGAATGTAGAGGGATAATTTCTTATACTGTGTATTCCTCATATCTTCTTCACACTGTAAATATTAAGTACACTCAGTATTTTTAAATAATTAATGTAAAAAGTTAAATACTAGTAAGTACAAAAATACAAGTGTGGTCACACATTGTGTTAACTTTCAAACAAGTGCTATCAACACCTCTCGGTTTGCTTTTTTCTGCATCTTTCTATATTAAGATGCTTTCAAAGAAATGATACGGAATCATTCTGTTGCCCAGGCTGGAGTACAATGGTGTCAGTATAGCTCACTATAACCTCAAACTCCTGAGCTCAAGCAATTCTCCCACCTCAGCTTCCTCAGTAGCTAGAAGTATAGTAGCAGCATATAGTAGCAGCATACCATCTTGTCTTTCTATTATTATTATTTTGTAGGACAAGGGCTAGCACAATGTTGCCAGTCTGGCCTTGAACCGCTGGCCTCACGGGATCTTCTCACCTTAGCCTCCCAAAGCACTAGGATTTCAGGCTTGAAGCACTGTGCCCAGCAAGATGTTTTTTTATTTTCCTTGACTCTTACCCAGAAACACAACGAAAGTGATTGTTAAAGCAACAAAGAAAATCCGTATGGAAACCTCAGAAGAGAGGGGAAAGAGAACAAGCCTAGGAAATTTACCTCAGGAGTGGTAACAGCAGTGTAGAACTAGAAACTGGGCTTTTTGCATCCCTGGGTCAGTCTGTCTGATACACATTATTCAAATAGAGTCCCTGCTTATTCTTAGCACAGCATCTCACTGTATGCTCGCATGTTAAGCTTGCTCTAAAGAAGTCAGCGTTGCAAGTCATCTATAGGAGAATATCTACATCCAGTTGGAGACGAGTTCTAGCCTTGCAGAAGGATAGTATCCTTATTCCTTTTTTTTTTTTTTTTTTTTTTTNCCCAGGCTGGAGTGCAACGGCATGATCTCTGCTCACTGCAACCTCTGCTTCCTGGGTTCAAGTGATTCTCCTGCCTCAGCCTCCCGAGTAGCTGGGATTACTGGCACCTGCCGCCACACCCAGATGATTTTTTTGTATTTTTAGTAGAGACAGGGGTTCACCATTTTGGCCAGGTTGGCCTTGAACTCCAGACCTCAGGTGATCCACCTGCCTTGGCCTCCAAAAATGTTGGGATTACAGGTATGAGCCACCAAGCCTGGCCTCCTCTTTTCTTAGTAAATTGAAACTGTTTTTCTTGCTCACACAGATTTTCAATAAATTTGTTGCTGTGAAAATAAAAACAACTGGCAAAATAAAAATGTTAAACCTTGAATTCTGGTTGAATGTAATAGGAAGTCGAGAATAAACTCAAGTTCATTTTATATATGATAAAGGTGACATCTCAGATAGCTGGGACAAAGATGGACCCTTCTAGAAATAGTGTCCAAAGAACCAGATTAGACATTTAAAAATAATAATAAAATTGAACCACAGACAGGACAGGAATAAACTCCAAATAGATCAGAGATCTCAATGTAAAAAATGAAATCATACAAGTACTAGAAGGCAACATGAATGAGCTCCTTTAAACCTGGGTGTGAGAAGAGGCTTTCTAATTATAATTCAATATTCAGATATAATTTTTTAAAAGATTGAAGAATTTAACTAAAAAAGCATTGAAAGAACTTTTTTTTTCCTTTTTTTTTCTTCTTTTTCCATGTAACACCAAGAAAGATGAAAGAACTTTTTATGGAATTCAAACTATAAAGTCAAAATCAGTGAGATAAAATATTTAGAATATATTTCATAAAGAGCTAATATCTTGGATATATTAAAATGCTTAAAAATCAAGGGAAAAAGAATTAAAAACAATAGAAAAACGGGCAAAAAATATAACATACCCACTACGTGGCTAACATTAAAAAGACGAACAGCTTCCAGTGTTTGTAAGGATGTGGAGCAACCAGAGCTCTCATACGTTGTTGGTGGGAATGTAAATGGTACACTGATGTTGAAAAAAGATCTGGGAATTTCTTTCAAACTAAACATATATCTATCCTACAAATCAGCAATTTGACTTTAATATACTTACCCAAAAGAAATGAAAACATATTTTCAACTCAAGAATGTTCAAAGTTTCATGTATAACATCCCAAAATAGGAAATAGCTCGGGTCAGAAAGGACAATAGACTACAAACTGTACTATGTTCATAGGTGGAATATTACTCAACACCAAAAAGGAACTAATACACAAAACAATATGGATGAATCCCCAAAACAATATACTGAATAAACCTTACCAAAGCATCTTATTATATGATTCTATTTATATGAAGAAGTCCTATGGAAAAGAGAACATACGGGATGATTCCAGTTACATAAAACTCCAGCACAAGACACACTAATCTATGGCAGATAAAAATTAGAACAATGGTTGCCTCTGAGAAGACAGGGTGTGAGATTAACTGGTAAACGAGTATAGAGAGTAATGATAATGTTCTATATCTTAATACAGTTTTGGGTTACACAGGTGCACGCATTTGTCAAAACTCTTTGAATAAACTCAAGTACATTTTATTTATTTATTTATTTATTTATTTATTTATTTTTTTAATATTAAACATGTTTTACTTTTTTCCTCACAAGAACATAAAAATTATGGAGGGGAACTTAACAGGGAATTTAAAAAAGGTAACACAATTTTTCTTTTTAGTAGTCCTTGGGTAGTTATGACAGAATAGTTTCCACTTTTTGTTTGTTTCTTTGAACTGGGATTTTGGTCCAAAGTTTTGTTTGTTTCTAGTATCTGCTTCTGCCTCCCCCTCTATCAGATCGGCATCCTCCACGGCCACCACCTCTTGGTGCTCCGCGGCTTGAACTGCTGTAGGAATCACGTGGAGGAGGGTACCCCCTTTCCATAGAAGGGGGAAGCCCTCTTTCTTGTCTGCCAACCCGATCACGACCACTTGAGTAGAGATCACTTCGGCTGCTTGAGTAACTGTCTCGACTTCCACCATATCCGTCACGTGAGCTGCTGTCATCATCATAGCGACTGCTTCCACCATAAGATGGCGGGGGCCCTCGTGTAGGTGGAGCACTACGTGAGTTACCATAACTCTCACATGAGTCTCTGTAGGAACCTCCACCTGGATGATCTGAATAGTCATGATCACGACCATATCCAACTCTATCGCTATAGCCTCTTGGTGGATAGTCATCATGTGAACTGGAATGACCATAGTCACGGGAAGTATAATCTCGTGGTGGTGGTGCATAATCTCTTGGATCACGAGAACTTGGGTAATCTCTGCTGCAATAGCTGTCTTTACGAGAAAACCCATCATCTCTTGGGGACAAATAAACATCTCTACGAGAAGGCAGCAGTTCTCTTCGAGGGGGACCTCCGTAACTATCTCTTCCACGTGATACCAGAGCTCTTCCTCCCATTCCACTGCTGCTGCGAACTGGTCCTGAAGGTGCAGATCTCTTAGGAGGAGGACCCCCACTTCTTGGTGGTGGTCCTCTTTTTACTGGGAGTGGTCCCCTGGAAGAACTCATGTTAAAATTCATGGAATATCCACCGTCATCCATGTGTCCTCCCCGTGAGGGAGGTCCCCTGGTTCCTCCACTTCCTCCTCTTCCACCTCTAAGACCTCTTGGAGGACCTCTACTTCTTGGAGGTGGAGGTGGCCCACGTCTACCACTTTCAAATGATGGTTTGGTGGCTTGTTCCACTTTGATGGCTTTTCCATCTAATGACTTTCCATTCATGTCTCTGGCTGCATCCTTAGCGTCTGCTGGGCTTTCAAAGGTGACAAAAGCAAATCCTCTTGATTTGTTGGTTTCACGGTCTTTCATCAAGAGTACTTCCACTATTCGTCCATATTTGCCAAATACTGCTTCAAGAGCTTTCTCATTTGTTTCCGTATTAAGCCCACCAATGAAGAGCTTTCCTGGGCGATCTGCTTCAACCATTTTTTTGTTTTGTTTTGTCGGTAAGTCCGAGGGGTGACAATGGGTTCAAGCTCCAACGAGCTCGCCGAGAGGGGCTTCCTAGCAGCTTAGCACCAAAAGCGGCTGCCGGGTGCGGGTACCGAAACATGAAGCCGCTAGCACTACTGCGCAACGAGCAACTCAAGTACATTTTATATATGATAAAGGTGACATCTCAGATAGTTGGGACAAAGATGGCCCCTCCTAGAAATAGTGTGAATGTACACTTAAGATTTTGCATTTCAATGGGAGAGAGATCCAAGATGGCTGATCACTAGCAGCTCGGGATTGTAGCTCCCACTGAAAGCGCAGAGAACGAGAGGACGCCACACTTTCAGATCAATTTTTGCTGCTCACGCACCAGGTGATTCCCAGCGGAGGAGCCCCACGGGTCTCCAGCGTGACTGTTGTGGCCGGCGAGGCCGTTTTGCCACTGCCTTGGTGCAGCGGTTCTTGGTGCAGAGTAAAAGCACCATTAATCTTAGCACCGCTGTTTTGGCCGGCGCAGTGGGTTGCTCAGATTTTAGCGCCGGGAATCAACAAGTTGGACGTCCATTCAGAAACCCAACTATAAAAATGGTAATTATAAAGACCACAGATGGATAAATCTATAACGAAGGGAAGAAACCAGCCTAAAAAGGCTCAGAATACCCAAAATCAGAACGCCTCTCCCTCTACAGGGCATCACAGTTCCTCATCAGTAACAGAACAAGGCCTGATACAGAAAGACTGTGTTCCATTATCAGAAACAGGCTTTAAAAAGTGGATGATAAGAAACTTCTGGGAATTAAAATAACTTGTTCTAACCCAATGCAAAGAAACTAAGTACTTTGAAGAAAGGCTTGACGAAATGTTAACAACAATACACAATTTAGAGAGGAATATAAGTGAATTAATGGAGCTGAAAAACACAACACAAGAACTTCGC